CCAGAACAATGTCTGGTGCATACTTTATTAATGTTAATTGTTATTATCATCATCATCTGAGTCTCTCATGATTATATTCCAAACCATCTCACCTAGTCAGAATTTGTCATTAAGAAAACTATGGGCCGGGCACAGTAGCTCACGCCTGTAATCCCAGCACTTTGCAAGGCCAAGGTGGGCAGATCACCTGAGGTCAGGAGTTCGAGGCCAGCCTGGCCAACATGGTGAAACCCCAGCTGTACTAAAAATATAAAAATTAGCCGGTAGTGCTGGCATGTACCTGTAATCCCAGCTACTTGGGAGGCTGAGGCAGGAGAATCGCTTGAACCCAGAAGGCAGAGGCTGCAGTGAGTCAAGATCATGCCACTGCACTTCAGCCTGAGTGACAGAGCAAGATTTCATCTCAAAAAAAAAAAGAAAGAAAAGAAAAAGGAAAACTATGGAGCATGACATGGAAGCTAGACAAGAAACTTGTTTGCAAACTCCAAGAAAAACCAGGACCTAAAAGAAGGGAAGAGTAGAATGGAGGGTGAGCAGAGTAGGGGGCCTAAGCTCCCCCCCCCTTTTTTTTTTTTTTTTTTTTGGTTGTGTATATTCCATTTCTAGAAGAGTTTCATTTGGAAAAAGGGTTCTACAGTTTTGAGTGCCAAAAAGGAACCATAGGTAAGCTGCTAACTAGGGTAACATCCTATCCCCTCTGAAATAAAATTAAATTTAGCAACACCTTCTGGATTCAGTGGGTGCTGTGTGCAGAGCACCTGCTGGGCTCCATGCAGAGGGGAAGGAATCAGTGTTGTCTGCATCCAAGTAGTTCATACTGTAACAGGTGACCTATACACACAGACCCCTTGCCAGGCAATGTGCCCTGTAGTATGGCCACACGGAGGAGGAGTCCTGGGGAGGCTCCATGGTGAAGGTGGCTTTTGAAGGACTGGCAGGGTGTCAATAGGCAGAGATGCATGGACAGTAAATCCAGGAAACAGGAACAGCATAGCCAAAGGACGGGGCGTCACTCACATTCTCCCCACTGGCCAAATGACACAAATAATGCTCAACTTCTGTGCTGCAGTTTGCTTTGACTGGCAGAGGGGCGCGAAAGACAAGGGAGCCAGCGTGCTGCACAGCAGGTTTAGCTTCCACGCCCAGGGTTTGGAGAAAGTGAAAACATCAGAGCTATGTCTTCAGAAGGTCTTGTGGTGTGAAACTGACTGGCAAGCTATCACAGAAAGCTGAGCGAGGTGGTGGGCCGCTGGATTAAAATGATCTCCAAACAGAATTCGTTCTCAGGGTTCATTTTCAGCCTAGCTCATTAGGGCAGATCCGGTCTTCTTGCATTATTATTGCTGTATCGGAGGAATCTTTCTAAAAAGTGACAGCACACATTGCTGCCATTTGAAAGCCTGCATTTTTAAAGGGCGTAATACATAGTGACAGTTCTGATGTATGCCCGTGGGTGTGGGTCCTAATATCTCACCATACTCTGCCTGCATAATTTAAAATGACAGTTTAGCCTGTCAAACTTAAATGTGAGTGAAGTTCCATGGATATTTATAAAACATCAAAAAGATAGAATGGTGTCAGCAAAAGATGGGTCTTTTTATTACTAAGCCACGGGACGATTTTTGGATGATAATTACTGGCAACTCACCTAGAAGCTGAACTTCCAGCCAAAGTATAAATTTGGTGGTGCCACAGTTTTAAAGGTTATTTTCACCCATGCAATAAAAGGATATTACAGAACTCCGGCACAAATCGTAGTCAAAGATGGAGACGCGTCAGTGACCCGTTTGTTTTTAATGTATTGTTTTGATGTTTTTGTTTTTAATGTATCCGTGGTTTCCAGTTCCCCTGAGAAAGTGGAAATTACCCATGCTAATAAAGCAAGCGTTCGTGTGAAGACCCAGCTGATGTTCGGCTGGGTTTTAGCCAGCTAGCCAGCCACCCTTTATAAAGCCTGCCAAGTTTGGAGCTTGGGTAGTTTTACACGCGGATCTCCACAGATTGTCTGCTTCGGTAGATTACTGAGAAAGTGCGTGTGGGCACTAATTTTTGTGAATTTACTAATAACGTTAGCAACTTTAAAAACCCGGTACAACGCAGCGCCGCAGCGTCCGGCCGGAATCCCCCTGCGTGCGCGGCCCCCGGCGCCGTACGTCCCACAGGCCCCACCCCGGCGCCGTCCGTCCCGCGGGCCCCGCCTTTGGCGCTGGGCTCTGACGTCACCACCTGCGCCGCGCACAGTAGAAACAGGAAGTGGGACCAAAACAAAGGAGCGGCGGCCGGGAGCGGAGTTACCTCACCTTCTGTCTCTTCCGCGCACGTCTCAGCCGGGCCGCCGACCCCAAGGAGCCGTCCGACTATGTCCAACATGGAGAAACACCTGTTCAACCTGAAGTTCGCGGCCAAAGAACTGAGCAGGAGTGCCAAAAAATGCGATAAGGAGGAAAAGGCCGAAAAGGCCAAAATCAAAAAGGCCATTCAGAAGGGCAACATGGAAGTTGCGAGGATCCACGCCGAAAATGCCATCCGCCAGAAGAACCAGGCGGTGAATTTCTTGAGAATGAGTGCGCGAGTCGATGCGGTGGCTGCCAGGGTCCAGACGGCGGTGACGATGGGCAAGGTGACCAAGTCGATGGCTGGTGTGGTGAAGTCAATGGATGCGACACTGAAGACCATGAATCTGGAGAAGATTTCTGCCTTGATGGACAAATTCGAGCACCAGTTTGAAACTCTGGACGTCCAGACGCAGCAAATGGAGGACACGATGAGCAGCACGACGACGCTCACCACTCCCCAGAACCAAGTGGATATGCTGCTCCAGGAAATGGCAGACGAGGCGGGCCTCGACCTCAACATGGAGCTGCCGCAGGGGCAGACCGGCTCCGTGGGCACGAGCGTGGCTTCGGCGGAGCAGGATGAACTGTCTCAGAGACTGGCCCGCCTTCGGGATCAAGTGTGACGGCAGAACCCGCTCTGAGGTCTCCTGGCCATAGCCACCCTTCGAAATGCTCTCTGTGTGTCAGAGAGATACTATACCCTAGAAACTCTGAACACGCCAGAATGCTGAAATGCTCTTCTACCTTTGGGTTTACAGTCGTCCCCTCCAGATAAATTAAGAAATTCAGTATTTCTCCACTCTTAGCTGGATTCTAAAGTTCTGTATAGCTCGTAATGATGGTATTTTTATAGCAGCCTTTTAACAGAACTAGTTAATTTGGTGTATATGAATCTTTCTCGAAGATCTGGTCAAAACTGTATTCAGTTTTCTGACTAGAATGATCAGATTGAAGGTGGTTGGTTTTTATTATCGATATTATTTAGTGTGATTGGTAATATCTAGAATGGCAGGCGGTGCATACAAGTTAAAGAGGGGGGAAAGATAAACACCATTCAGTGTATTCGGTAGACTGTGCTATTTCTGTTTATCCTTTGGGTTTTCTTTTTTGTTTTTGCCTTCACAGTGAGACTGCAATTGATCTCATAACGTCTGTTATTAATAAATCTCGTCCCATAATTTATACTGAAATTACCTTAGGATATTTTTGCATAATGCTCTCTTACTGCTTACATTCTATACATTTTTCATGTGATAATTGTCTTTGCGTAACTGGGAAAAATGCCGTATGACTTCCTTTATTATCTGGAAAAATTAAATTTGTTCGTTTATATTTTCTACTTACTAAATTGAGTTTTTAAAAAGACTTAGAAAGTGTGACATTATACAGTGTCTTTCAAACGAACAAGTTTATAGTTATTTTCCTGTTTCGACACTATTAGACGTCTTATAAATCATGCTAATTAGCACGGTAGTCTTGTTACACACTCTTAACATTGCCAAAGAACTGTTGATTGTTTGAGAAAACCCTGGGACTGTGTGTGTGTAGGTTTTGTTTTGATTTTAACAACCAAAAATAGAAATAAAATTAGAACTGCATTTTAAGTTCTAATTTGCATTTATTAATTTGTCCAAAAGCAACAACTCTTTGAAAACCTTGAAAATATAAGCTGGGATGTTTTACTTAGCCATGCAAGTCATTTATGTATACATCCAGCCAGCTGGAAGTCTGAGAATTAAAGAGGTAGGACTGGAAGGAAGGAGAATGCTGGACTCTTTAAGGCTGGAGCCCAGCTGTGCTGCCTGCCGTCTTCTCAGGAATGGCAGTGCGTATTTTCTGGCTGAAAAGTAAAGCATGTAGCCAGCCACCGCTTTCTCATAGCCTGGAAACATGGAGAAAAGCAACTTACTTTTGCCTTGGCAAGTATTCTAACCTAAGTTAATTCAAGTTTTTTTTAACTTACCCTTTCCTTCACTGGAAGATTTTTCCATAAGAGAATTCCATTGTTTCAGAAAATAATTATAGGGGCCCTTCCAAGTTCTTTGAAAGATTCGTAACCAACTGTTCACTATTATAACATGTGTTCCAGTGTAAATGAGTAAGGAAAAAAACCAGGTGTGACAGGTGTGTGTAGATGAGGAGTGGCCCTCATATTTATTGTATATTTGGATGTTGTTCTGAAGTGTGCTTTGAGGGACACTTGTTGGTTGCCTGCCCAGCATCTTCTCTGAGAACGCCCCTCTTAGAAGGTCGTGTCTCCTGCCCTCCACAGGCTTGTGCAGGGCCGTGTGTGAGGACGGCATGAGTCTTAACCCGTCTTTTATTTTATTTATTTTATTTTCGAGATGGAGTCTCGCTCTGTTGCCCAGGCTGGAGTGCCGTGGCGCGATCTCGGCTCACTGCAGCCTCCGCCTCCTGGGTTCAAGCGATTCTCCTGCCTCAGCCTCCCGAGTAGCTGGGATTACAGGTGCACACCGCTATGCCTGGCTAATTTTTTTGTATTTTTAGCAGAGACAGAGTTTCACTGTGTTGGCCAGGCTGGTCTTGAACTCCTGACCTCAGGTGATCCTCCCGCCTCAGCCTCCTAAAGTGCTGGGATTACAGGCGTGAGCCACTGCACCTGGCCTTAACCCCTCTTTAGATTGGAAAAAATAATCAGAACTTTTAAAATAGCTTAGTGTTGAACCCTTTGGTAAACTGAAGACCCTTTTATAATGCAAATATTCCCACCAAAATTAATATATTTTGTGAGATTAAACAATGCTTGTATATGCTTGAACTTTCTTAAAATATGTTCATGTCATACTATTATGAATGTACATTTTTATGAGTCATAAATATTATTTTCAAAAGCACTACAGGCCCATGAATTATTTCCTAACTTTTGCAGTTGATTAAATACTGAAATGTAAATCACAGGAATTTGTCAAATCATTTTAAACTGCATGTTACTGGATGTGAGTGTGCATCCTGTTTTAAAAAATACTTAAGAAAAAAGAGTTGCTGGGCACAGTGACTCAAGCCTATAATCCCAGCACTTTGGGAGGCTGAGGCGGGCAGATCACCTGTGGTCAGGAGTTCAAGACTAGCCTGACCAACATGGAGAAACCCCACCTCTATTCAAAATACGAAATTAGCCGGGCGTGGTGGTGTGCACCTGTAATCTCAGCTACTCAGGAGGCTGAGGCAGAAGAATTGCTTGAACCCGGGAGGCAGAGGTTGCGGTGAGCCGAGATTGCGCCGTTGCACTCTAGCCTGGGTAACAAGAGTGAAACTCTGTCTCAAAAAGAGAAAAAAAAAATTCTGAGGTAGATTTGGTTCAGAAAGCATGGTATTTTTCCAAATTCACCCTCAGTCTTACCACTTAAATTTTTGTTTGGTTAGTATGGCTTTTTCTCGTGTATTTCTAGGATCCCTGGCTTATTTTTGTTGTTGCTGTTTTGAGACGGAGTCTTGCTCTGTCGCCCAGGCTGGAGTGCCACCACGATCTCGGCTCACTGTGGCCTCCACCTCCCAGGTTCAAGCGATCCTCCTGCCTCAGCCCCCAAGTAGCTGGGACTACAGATGCGCACCAACACACCTGGCTAATTTTTTTTCTTTTTTTTTTTCTCTTCAGTAGAGTCGGGGTTTCACCATGTTGGCCAGGCTTGTCTGGGACTCCTGATCCTCAAGCGATCCACCTGCCTTGGCCTCTCAAAGTGCTGGGATTACAGGCGGGAGCCACCGTGTGCCTGGCCCCCTGGCTTCTTCACCGTAATTGTTTCTTCATGGCCACAAGATTCTTTTTCACATTGAAACTTCCCTACGCCAAAGATGGATATAATTTACAAAAGTATCCAACTGAAACACATCAGGGAACTAGTTAATCTTCCATTTAACTACTAGTTATATTTCTTCCTTTCATTTTTCCGCCTTCAAATGCACAATTTCTAACATGGATTTAGAATTGAAAGAAAAAAAGTAGACTGGATTAATACACAAAATACTTTACTTTTAGTTTATTTCAGCTCAGGAGCCCAGATGATACTGTGTGTGCTACTGGAGAATTTTCTTACTAAAGCTGCTTCTTGCTGAAGGGATGCCAATGTATATGCCTTTTAAATACAGGCAGACCATGAGGCTTGGACACTGTGTGCCTGCCCTGCTGTCTTTGATTTGGAAAAGACTGCTGGGCCGGGGCAGTGGCTCACGCCTGTAATCCCAGCACTTTGGGAGGCCAAGGCAGGCAAATCACCTGAGGTCGGGAGTTCGAGACCAGCCTGACCAACATGAAGAAACCGCATCTCTACTAAAAATACAAAATTAGCCGGGCATGGTGGCGCATGCCTGTAATCCCAGCTACCTGGGAGGCTGAGGCAGGAGAATCGCTTAAACCCAGGAGACAGAGGTTGCAGTGAGCCGAGATCGTGCCATTGCACTCCAGCCTGTCCGGCCTGGGCAACAAGAGCGAAATTCCATCTCAAAAAAAAAAGACTGCTGAAAATAAGTACCAGTCTGATAAGATAACCTTATTAACTGAGCATAGTATCAGCATCAGCTGGCCAAGCACATTATAAAGTAGAAGGGAGGGACTTCCTCTGCAAAAACACAACATCCTCTTGGCAATTCTGTAGCCAAAGTCCAAAGCAAGATATTTATAGCAAATTATAGCTGCACTCCAGCCTGGGTGACAGCGTGAGACTGTCTCAAAAAAATAAAAATAAAAACAAATACTTTTTTAAATTTAAAAACATTTTAAATGACAGTGCAGAGAAAGATTCAGTACAAAACATGCTGGCCATGTGGGGCTTCTTTCTAGAAATTAGAACATGCTTTTGCCCTTAAATGATATTCAGTACAGATAGGTAGATAAAACATACACAGAAAAAGAAAAATGGACAAGGCATATCCAGATGTTTAAAAAAAAATCAAGAACACTGAAGATCAGGACTGTTTACATACTTTACGTTATTTTATATCTCAACCTTTAAAAAGGATTAAATCACAGCATAAGGCAGCATGCCAAGCTCATCGAATTGTGAGACAGTAAGTGCCAGAAGAAAGTGAGGTTGACATTGTGCTGTGTCATGGCAGTTAGAAGTGGCTTCCCAGAGCGGGCAGGGTTTAATCTCAGGTTTCAAATGAGGGGGGAAAGCAGGAATGACATGGGATCTGAGAGGCCAAAAACTACAGGGAGTTTTGACTGGAGTGGATGGTTCATGTGATGTAAAAGAGACTGAAGGGGAGACTGGACAGATTGCAAAGGGCTCGAGGCCAGATTAAAAGTGTGGACTTTACCCTGTGGGAAGGAGAAAGAGCAGGAGTCATGAGAAGAATGGTTCAGGCAGAGATTAGAGCATAAAGCTGGGAGGCGGGGAAAGCCAGGAGGAACACGCTCTTGGATGACGACTCACCAAGAATCGCTGATCACCTGGGACGTGGCTGAGCTGCACATGCTGACGCAGTGGGTCTGCCAGTGACGCTAATATGCTATGAGTCTGGGAACCCCTTTTAAGGAGCAGGGATCTTAACTCTGGCTGTGCATTACAACTGCCTGGTACTTTGTCACCATGTGAGTCATGTTTTTCTCCACCAGTACGAACTCCGGGGCTCCAGTGATCCTGCTGCCTCAGCCTCCGGAGTACCTGGGATCCATCTGTATATTTATATCTTGTAGATAAATATCATGAATCAAATTTCATTAACACTGGGAAAAGTTTTTTACTTTCCTTGACAGATTTCCAATTGCTATATGTTTTCACAAAAAAAGTAATTTTAAATACATGGAAATTTAGTTGGTACTTTTTTTCTCAGACCCAGTAGTTTAATTACAAAGGCATTTAATAGAATAGTTTTCATCTTTTGGTGACTCTCCTTGTTCCCTCTTCATGATCAATTCCATGGCCATTAAGAATTTTTTGACGCCAACAACAGATGGGATGTAAACAGTGAGTTGTTATTTTTGCTAATATCAAACAGAAGGAGGCTCTAAATGAAAATGAAAACATTTCTCAAATATGAGTGTCCTCAGCTGTCACAGGAAATAATGAAAAAAAAAATCAAAGTAAATTTCTTTTTAACTACTTTCTTATAGTGTCTACAATGCAAGTGATTTTTTACAATGCTAATTTGGTATAGTTTTGCAACTCTGTATCTAATGTTGGAGTGAATCGTCTGCAAGGGGTTTTTAGATCTGCTTAATTCCTTCCGGTCAGCATGCAGTGGCGTATTTAAGGAGGCAATGTTATAACCCTTTAAAATGTAGTCATATGCAAAATTCTATGTACGATTTGGAAGATCCCTTTAAAATTCTCTCTACGTATGGTAATCACAGAAGCCCCAATTTGAAAAAGTCCTTCTGCAACATGCTTGGAAATATGCCAGTTGAAACAAGGATCAAGGCAGAAGGCTGGCAGAAATCTACCACTCTATTATTTATTCCTTAGAAACTCTTTCAAAGAATTGGGGGCATATTCACATTTTGGGGTGCATTTTCACATTTTACTTTCATTGCACAAACTTGAAATGCATGAACTCAGGGCATCAGTAACGATTCAGAAGCAGCTCTTGGAAATGTTCAGTGAGACCTCCCACGTCTCACTTAGATCTCTGAGAATCAGAGCTGGAAGGACTCTTGAGTATCCATCTTGGAGGCTGGGGACAGGAGAAGACCCACCAGCCTCATCACTGTCAGCATCTCAACGTCACTGGTCTTTCGTAGTGCACAGGAAGATGCACTCACACGTCCTCTCATCACATCTCTCTAGCACTCCACAGGCATTTTTTGGTTAACCATACTTCATTCTTTCTACTTAGACTAGTTATTATCATCTGAATACATTCACCTACCTACCTCCAACCTATGTGCATCCCATTTTAAATAGATTACTTCCTAAACTCTAACTATAGCCACAGGCTTCATATTTAATGTTCAGTTCCTTCCAGCTCTTTTCATCAGAGCGAATTCGTTTCTGTATCCTTACCTTGGCCCCTGTCAAAAGTCATGACCATTTCTGACTAGAACCGTTGTAGCTCACACGGCCTGTGAGGGAGGCAGCCTTCCCACCCAGAAACCCACCTGAATGTCCAGCCGCAGTCCAGAGGTCCGGTCCCACCCCGGCAGAAACTTCTCCTGCCTTCTCACGGATTCCAAGGTCTTTTTGCTCCTTTGTCACTGGATGGTCAGGAACTCAGTGTGTCCTTCCGCTGTGCTCTTCACCCCACCACATTCCAGGCCAGCAACCACCATGCCAAAACTGCATTGCACTTTCCAAACCAGGCCTCAGGCAATGGCAGGGAATTCCTGCCTCCAGCCTCCCAAGGCTCTCCAGGTCCCAGAAGGTCCCTTCCCTTTACTCCTTCCCCTCTGGAGCCAGTTCCACGCCCTCGGCCAACTCACCAGCCTTCACGTGCGCAGTAGCACCTCCCAGGGCTTGCAGCACCTACTCCAAAGACACCACTGGCTGATCAGGGTCCCTTTGGCCTCTCAATAACCCTGTCACCTGGGCCATATCTCTGCAGAGCCGGGAGCAGTTGACATTCT